TGTAGGTGGGCTTTCACTTCCAAATTTGCGCACGTATTATTGGGCTGCGAATTTTAATGCCATCTCTCTGTGGCTAAAAGATTGGAATGATAGGATTCCTGCATGGCTCCAGATTGAAAAGGTTACAAGTAGCCCACACTCACACCCTGCTTTACTCTGCGCACCCCTACCAACACTAGTTAATAATATAAGGATAATATAATTGTAACTCAATCACTACGTATCGTAAATCAGTTCAAAAGATGTCTGGGTATTCAGAGTATTTCTATTCACTCACCAATAATACATAATCATCTTTTTCAACCATCCTTAATGGACAATGGCTTCAAAATTTGGTATGAAAAAGGCATTCATAGTATTGAGGACCTGTATGTTAATGATACTTTTGCTAGCTTTGAACAACTATCTAGAAAATTTGGTCTGACCAATAATCATTTTTTGCGATACTTGCAGATTAGAGACTAGAGATTTTACTCGTAAAAAGTTTGCTAATTTTCCTACACTCCCTTCTCCTTCCTGTTTGGATTCCCTATTAAGGGTCAATATGCTGAATAAGACCAGAATATCATTTATTTATTCCCATATCATGGATAGCTGCAACCTCTCTATTTCACATATTCGAGAACAGTGGGAAAAAGACTTGGGGGCCCAGCTGTCTGATGAGGAATGGGATATGGCTCTTACTAGAGTCCACTCTTCTTCCATATGTTCCAGACATGCTTACACAGGTTGCACTTCTCAAGCTAAATTAGCAAGAATATTTCCAAATGTAGACCCATTATGCGATAGATGTAAACAGATTCCGGCTACTTCCTATCATATGTTCTGGTCTTGTCCGAAACTTGTTCCTTTCTGGTCATCATTTTTTGAAGTCATCTCTAATGCTTATGCTTATAACATCTCACCTTCTCCCTTGGATGCTGTTTTTTGATTGGTTTTCTGATCCAACTGTTCCCCCTATTCATTTACAGAGGGTCATTGCCTTTTCCTCCTTATTAGCTAGACGCTTGATTTTATTTAAATGGAAGGCTGCTACTCCTCCATCACACCATCACTGGATTAGGGACGTTATGCAGAATGTTAAGCTGGAAAAAATCAGATGCACCCTCAACGGTTCCATCAACAGATTCTACAAAACCTGGAACCCTCTGATAACTTATGTAAACAATTTACACACTGATTATGAATTAAAATAAATAAAAATAATAAATAATAAATAATAAAAAAATAAAATAAAATCAGTTTAATTATTTTCTTATGGCTCTATCTGCAGTTTTTCCAGAGTAATTTCAAGTATTAACATTTTCTACAGACAAACAACAGCCAAAAGTAATTTACTTCAAAGAAAAATCAACTGTCCTGTAGTAGTAAGACAAAAAAATGCAAAAATGAAACTGCATTAAAAACTGAAAATGCGTCAAAGCACCGTTTGCTGCTCACTAGTCTGAGGAAGATGCTTGGTGTCTCATCTTCGATACAAGTTCATCAATGTCTGGGGCAATGTTCCCTCTAATTTTTCATGTGTCTGGGCATACACACAAGCTCCCTGAGCACACTGAGGACCACTGTGGGCAACATCAGATGTGCACGCTGTGGCCACACACCAGTATCACACCTGTTCAAAACAGAAGAAAAACAAAGAACAAAGAAAAATCTCACCCAGTTTCACCGCTTGTTCTTCTATTTGCACATACTCAGACAGCCATTCCATCCTAAAAGAACCACATTTCTTTTTTACTTTGGCTTGGTCAGTGGAAGTGTCGCTGGCGCTGCCCGTTCGTTTCGCCATGAAAAGGGGTTGCGTGCGTCTCTTAACTCCGCCGCACTGTTGTTAGCAAGCTAACCTCCACGGCGCGTATGGGCAGGGCACATATGCAAGCACTATCAATGCTATGATTGGCTGCATAGCGTAAGTAAACCGTATCGTATCATTGGCTGAACACCTGTCACTCACTGCGTTACATTGAAAAATGGTACAGAAAAACACATTATTGGTCTAATTAATTAGATTAGATTAGGTCTAATATTAGATATTAATTAATACGTTTATGGTGAATTTTATTTTATGCGCTGCATAGATTTTCTTGTGCGCTGAGAATGTGCTAGCAATGCGCGATTGCGCAGGCGCGCAGCTTAGAGGGAACATTGGTCTGGGGTCAGGCTCTGAGCTTAGGAAATCCTCAGGATTGAGTGAAGGTGTTCATCAGTAAGACGACTCCTGTGTGAAGTTTTGTTCATCTTCATCAAAGAGAACAGTTGTTCACACATGTGCTGCCAAACATAGAGAGCGTTTGAGCAGGCTGGGAGCGCAGCTGGGGCATTGTGTCAGGGATGAAATGTGGAAACTCTGCAGCGCCCACAGACTCATATTTTGCCTTCAGTGTGTCACTACACTGGAGCTCAATCAGCTCCATTTGAAGGTTTGATGGTGTGCTTTCCACGTCAGCTGCAAATGGATTACTGAGTAGTTCAAACCTGCTTTTTTGGGCTTCAAAATCGGCAAATCGCTGTGTGAAGTCAGCACCAAGTATGCAGAGTTTTTCAGCAAACTGTGTAGTTGGGAAAGCGGCGGCAGCGATCTGCTCTTTCGTTGTTTGACAGTGCGGAAAATGGCTCAAGTTTTCCTGCTGCATCTGCATCTCCCACAGGCGCAGCTTGGTTTTAAAAGCCCTCACTGTAGCGTACATGTCAGTGATGACACGGCCCCGCCCCTGAAGCTGCAGGTTGAGCACATTCAGGTGGCTCGTGATGTCACACAGAAACGCCACTTTACACTGAAACTTTTTATTTCGGAGCTCTGTTGTGTCTTTCTCTTTGCTTTCCATGAACTCAGATCTCCTCACACAACTCGAAAAATCTTTCCAGCACCTTTCCCTGGCTTAGCCATCGCACCTCTGTGTGATAGCGCAAGTCACCATATTCTGAACTTCACTCCGCCAGAAAAGACTTGAACTGGCGGTGATTTAAACCCTTGGCTCTGATAAAGTTAACCGCTTGTGTTATGATGCTCATCATATGTTCCATTTTCAAGGCTTTGCCACACAACGATTCCCGGTGTATGATGCAGTGATAAGCTGTCAGTTCACCTGTGACGTTTTCCTCCTACATCTTTTCTCAGATCCTCCCCACCAATCCACTCTTTTGACCGCACATCGCAGGTGCCCCATCTGTTGTCAGTCCCACAAGTTTATCCCACGGCACCCATTTTATCTACACATCTGGACACCTCTTCAAAGAGATCTTTCCCCATAGTTGTGCCATGCATTGAGTGTAATCCCAAAAACTCTTCTGTTACGCGCAGGCTTGAGTCAACTCCACGAATGAAAATTGACAGCTGGACAGTATCAGAAGTGTCGGTGCTCTCATCCACAGCAAGGGAGTATGCGATGAAATCTTTTCCCTTTCTCACAAGCTGTTGTTGGAGATTGGCAGCAAGGTGATGCACATGGTCAGCAACGGTGTTTCGGCTCAGGCTCACATTTAAAAATGCTTGCCTTTTTTCTGGGCACACGGCGTCGCAAACTTTAATCATGCAGTTTTTGACAAATTTCACCTCGGTAAAGGGCCGGGCTGATTTTGCAACCTCTGCTGCCACAATAAAACTGGCCTTAACAGCAGCCTCGCTTTGTGATGTGACTTTAGTGAACATGGCCTGCTGTGACACCAGACTTCTTTTTAACTCTTCTACCTTCTGTAGCCTTTGTGTCGTGTCCAGATGCTTGTATTTGTCGTGGTACTTCATTTCATAGTGTCCTCTTTTGTTGTATTCTTTCATTACAGCCACACTGTCTCCGCACAGGAGACACACAGCTTTGCCCTTTACATCAGAAAACATATACTGTGCCTCCCACCTGTCTTGAAAACTCCTGTTTTCAAAGTCCACCTTTCTTTTAGCCATTTTTTGGGGAGAGGGTTAGCTATAAGTTGACACAAGCGGTGTATAATACCATAAGACTGCTGATGAATTAGTGGGGCACGCTTTCACGGGCCTGTGATTGACGTGCTGATGCATGGGCAGTGCATTGTGGGATTTGTAGTATTATGGTGGTGCGTGCGATATACCGGCGGGCCAGCTCTAATAGTAAATAAATTTTGTCATGCGGGCCAAAGATAATTCATTTGGCCTTGAGTCTGACACATGTGCTCTAGAGCTATGTTCTGTATGTAGTTGATTCAATCAATAATCTATAATCAATCAATCCCTAGTAGCAGAAGTTACACACTGTAGGTATAACTGCCTATCACCAGCTCATCCATGATTACCACAGTCATAATAAGGTGGTCTACCAAAAAAGTCCAGTGTGTAGGAGTTAATGCCATCAACTCCGTCACTTCACCCTCCATTCCCAAGTGCAAAGGAAAGACCATTGTGTTTGTAAAATATGCGAACACCACTATCTAGATCCAATGTTTGGTTTGTGCATTCTGGGCTACTGTAGAAACATGATGATTCAACATGGCGGACTCCTGTACTTCTGTAGATAAAAACGTCTTATTCTAAGGTAATGAAATCAGGTGATTATACACTAATGAAAACATACCTGAATATTATATTACAGTAATATTACTATATAACAAGAATTCTTAGAACCATAGTTACACATATGCCACTGTCAGTAACAGCTCACATGTTCTTCAGCTCTAATATTTCTGCTCCAAACTGTGCACACCGCTGGTTGATGGTTGTATTGATTCCAGGAGGATGTTGGTCAGTCAACATGATGCAGTCACATATTTTGAGTCACTGATTATCAGCAGTTGTTTTTGGCTAAAAAAAACGAACGAAAAAAAAAAAACTTCTGTTGTAATAAAGCTATAAAACAGGATCAGGGTTGATAGAAATATAAAGGAATAAAGTGACTGCGTGTAAGTGGATTTGCTGTGACGTTACACTTTAAAATCAAGTTTTCAGGTGGTTAAAACATCAGCTCTCAGTTTGTTCAATATTAAGATTTAATTACTGATATGTCTCTCGTTGGAATAATCACATCTTTCCTCACCTGCAGTCTCTGCGTGATTTCTCCAATATCCTTCCAGGTTGTTGAAAACATCACGCAGTCGGCGTGTTCGTAAAACAGTTTGATGAGTCCGTGTCCAGCGCTCCAGCCAATCACGTCTCTGCAGTAACAGCTGAACACCACCTGTCTACTCGCTTCCTCTATCAGCACCACAAACTCGTTGGAGATGGCAAGGAGGCAAGTGACAGCAGTGGAGTGGCTGAAGTCTCGAGCTGTCACACTCCAGGTGAGCGCCCCGCTGCTCTGCAGGTGAGCATATCGACGCGGCGTGCTGCGCTCCTTCTTCTTCCCTCCCAGAGAGATGAAACTGAACCTTGCAGAGGAGGACATGTCCACTGGTGTTGACGTAACAAAGTTCTCCACCAGCGCCATCAGGTGTTCCTGTCTGCTGCACATCGCCATGGCAACAACCTTCTCTGACCTGCCTACGGCGTGTTTAGCATTGATGATCTTCATCAGCAGGAAGTCCCTGAAAGCAGGTGAGGCGGAAAAACTCTGACCTGCTGGGATCAGAGGACCGAAGCATGGGACGTCTCTGCACCTAGAGACTGCAACGCTAAGTGACAGGTGGTAAATGGTAAGTGGTAAATGAACTGTACTTATATAGTGCCATTCGAGTCTTTCAACCACTCAGTGCGCTGTACACTACAGGCACACTCACTCCATTCACACACACTCATACACTGATGGCAGTGCAGGTAAACACGTCAACAGGTGGAGGTAAACACGTCAACAGGTAGAGATAAACACGTCAACAGGTGGAGGTAAACACGTCAACAGCTGAAGGTAAACACATGTCAACAGGTGGAGGTAAACATGTCAACAGCTGAAGGTAAACACGTCAACAGCTGAAGGTAAACACGTCAACAGGTGGAGGTAAACATGTCAACAGGTGAAGGTAAACACATCAACAACTGAAAATAAACACATCAACAGGTGGAAATAAACACATCAACAGCTGAAGGTAAACACATCAATAGGTGGAGATAAACCGAGAGACTAAACAGACACAGGTGTGTCTGTAGCAAGTACAATCTCACCTGTAGCAGGTGTGTTGGCTGCAGGGTCGGTGGACTCTGACGATGATGAAGACATGTGAGTTGATGTTTTGGGGACAGAAGGGCGGAGCGTCTGGCTCTTGGAAAATCACTGTGACGATGTCATTCCCAATGTGATGTTTATGCATGAGCTGAGACAAACAAACAAACAAACAAACAAACAAAGAGACTGCTGTTGTAGTAGTAGTAACTGGTGTGTATTGTTTGTAGTATGTGGTAGCAGTAGCAGTCATAGTAATAGTAGTAGCAGTAGTTGCAGGAGTACCTGGTGCATATTGTTTGCAGTATATAGTAGTAGCAGTAGCAGTAGTAGTAGTAGTAGTAGTAGCAGTAGTAGCAGTAGTAGTAGTAGTAGTAGTAGTAGTAAGAGTAGTAGCAGTAGTAGTAGTAGCAGTAGTAGTAGAAGTAGTAGTAGTAGCAATAGCAATAGTAGCAGTAGCATTAGTAGTTAGTAGTAGTAGTAGTAGTAGCAGTAGCAATAGCAATAGTAGCAGTAGCATTAGTAGTTAGTAGTAGTAGTAGCAGTAGCAATAGTAGCAGTAGCAGTAGTAGTTAGTAGTAGTAGTTAGTAGTAGTAGTAGTAGTAGCAGTATCAGTAGTAGTAGCAGTAGTAGCAGTAGTACCTGTTGTGTATCGTTTACAGTATTTGGCAGTTGTTTTGAAACGTGGAACATCACCTCGAACTCTCTGAACTTTGTGTAAACAGAGTGACCCCCTGTTGAGTCACCTGACAGGAAACAGGAAGTAAACAACAGCAGTTTATAGTCAGTCATACCTGATATACACCTTCACCACCATCAGTAGTGACATCACAGTGACATGATCACTATAACTCAGGTTCATGACCAACAGTGTCATTAAAACAGGAAGTGGTTCTAGTTCAGAAACAGGAATTGTTTCTGGTTCTAGTTCAGAAACAGGAAGTGTTTCTGGTTCTGGTTGTGTTTCAGAGACAGGAACTGGTTTTGCTACCGATGCTGTCTAGCTGAGCTCTGTACTTGGTGAATCCCTTCAGTTGGACCTTGTGACCCAGCAGGTCCAGGAACTGCTCCAGAGCTGCACTGGACTTATTGTTGTTCTCCTGAGAGTTCTGACTGGCCCTGAAGCAAACACCCACTGTGTGCTGGAAACTCAGCTGCAGATAAAAAAAGAAGAAAAACATCAGTTTATCCGAGTCCAGGACAGTCCAGCCCAGTCCATCAGAGTCCAGCAGTTATCCAGGTCCTGAACAAGAACATTTCCATTTTTAATCTCTCCAATGTCATGTTTGTGCATTCGACTACTTTGGTTTATGTTGGATTCTTGGAACTCTGATGATGTCTCCTGACAATGAGGTCACCTATAGTTGAGGTCAGCTGATCATTAACCTATTCAATATCCATGTTTGTATGTCCATCTGTTGGACATTAAAGGAGACATATTATGCCCCTTTTCAGGTTCATAATTGTATTTTGTGGCTCTCCTACAATAGGTTTAGATGTTTTAATCTTCAAAAAAGACACTATTTATCTTATACTGCCAATAGCTGAGCACCTCTTTTCAGCCTCTGTCTGAATCAATCAGTTTTAGCTCCTGTCTCTTTAAGGCCCCCCTTCCGAAAAGCCCAGTCTGCTCTGATTGGTCGGCATTATGACACGGTTCACATGGATGATGCTCCGACCCCTCCCACTTCTGCCTCAGCGTTGCAAGCAGTTAGCTCCTCACTGCTACTGAGTTTAGCTGCATTTCTACCGTCAACATTAATTCAATAACTGCTTCAAAACCAAAAACTTCACCACCGGACATATTAGAGCGGGAGTCTGACCTGAAATCACTGAGAAATGAACATCAACAACAATCAGGATTAAAGCTTTCTGTGACGTTTTCCTCAGGTTAATTCAATTCAATTCAATTCAATTTTATTTGTACAGCGTCAATTCATAACAGAAGTTATCTCAGGACACTTTTCAAATAGAGCAGGTCTAGACCGAACTCCTTATAACATTATTTACAGAGACCCAACAGTACCACCATGAGCAAGCACTTGGCGACAAGGGCAAGGAAAAACTGGCTATTGAAAGGTTGAAACCTAGGACAGATCCTTCGGCTCTAGGTGGGTGGTCGTCTCCCTCGACCAGTTGGAGAGAGAGAGAGAGAGAGAGAGAGAGACAAACAGACAGACAGGTGCACAGCAACAACAGTATTGGCAATGGCAATCTAGCAGGACCATGGCAGGAGGCTCCATCAGCATCGATTAAAACCTGCGAGACGAGAAAGCACAAGAACTCCGGGGAAGAAGTGAAGTTAGTAACATGCATCAATGGGACATGAATGAGTGCAGAGAGAGGAAGAGAGGAGCTCAGTGCACCATGGGAAATCCCCCGAAAGTCTAGGCCTATAGCAGCATAACTAAGGGATGGTTCAGGACTCAGCTGATCCAGCCCTAACTATAAGCTTTATCAAAGAGGAATGTCTTAAGCCTACTCTTAAATGTGTAGAGGGCATCTGCCTCCCAAACCACAACTGGAAGCTGGTTCCATAGGAGAGGAGCTTGGTAACTGAAGGCTCTGGCTCCTGTTCTACTTTTAGAGACTATAGGAACCACAAGTAGCCCAGCATTCAGAGAACGTAGTGTTCTAGTGGGGTAATAGGGTACTATGAGCTCTTTAAGATATGAAGGGGCCTGACCATGAAGAGCTTTATAGGTGAGGAGGAGGATATTAAATTCTATTCTACATTTTACAGGGAGCCAGTGCAGAGAAGCTAGTACAGGAGAGATGTGATCTCTTTTTCTAGTTCCTGTCAGTACTCATGCTGCAGCGTTTTGAATTAATTGGAGCGTTTTAATGGACTTATTGGGGCAACCTGATAATAAAGAGTTGCAGTAATCCAGCCTTGAAGTAACAAATGTATGGATTAGTTTTTCTGCATCTGTCTGTGATAGTATGTGTCTAATTTTTGTAATATTACTTAAATGAAAAAAGGCAGTCCTAGAGGTCTGCTTCATGTGGGAGTTAAAAGACAAATCCTGATCAAAGATAACTCTTAATACCTTTAGTACCCTTAATTGGCACTTCTTTACTGGATGTGATTCATCTTTTTTTATTATCAGGATATGTAGCACAGTCCTTTAAAGTAGCTGTAATTAAACCCCTTCTTAAAAAGCCCATTCTTGACCCAGGGGTTTTAGTCAACTATAGACCAATCTCTAACCTCCCCTTCCTCTCTAAGATTCTGGAGAAAGTAGTCGCCAAAGAGTTGTGTGACTTTTTACATAACAATAGTTTATTTGATTTTCAGTCAGGATATAGAGTTCATCACAGCACAGAGACAGCTCTGGTTAAAGTTAATAATGACCTTTTGATTGCTTCCGACAATGGACTTGTCTCTGTACTTGTATTATTAGATCTTAGTGCTGCATTTGACACCATTGACCATGATATTCTTTTACAGAGACTTGAGCATCAAATTGGCATTAAAGGAACCGCACTAAGCTGGTTTAAGTCATATCTATCAGATCGTTCGCAGTTTGTGCACGTTAACTATTAATCTTCAATCAACACTACAGTTAGTCATGGAGTTCCACAAGGTTCTGTACTTGGACCAATACTATTTACTTTATATATGCTCCCTTTAGGCAACATTATTAGGAATCACTCCATTAACTTTCACTGTTATGCAGATGATACGCAGTTATATCTATCGATCAAGCCCGATGAAATTAATCAATTATCTAAATTACAAACATGTCTTAAGGACACAAAGTCCTGGATGAGCTGCAATTTTCTGATGTTAACTCAGTGTCTAAAGATATAGTTACTCTAGATGGCATTACCTTGGCCTCAAGCACCACTGTCAGGAATCTTGGAGTTATCTTTGATCAGGATTTGTCATTTAATTCCCACATAAAGCAAACCTCTAGGACTGCCTTCTTTCATTTACGTAATATTACAAAAATTAGACACATCCTGTCACAGACAGATGCAGAAAAACTAATCCATGCATTTGTTACTTCAAGGTTGGATTACTGCAACCCTTTATTATCAGGTTGCCCCAATAAGTCCATTAAAACGCTCCAATTAATTCAAAACGCTGCAGCACGAGTACTGACAGGAACTAGGAAAAGAGATCACATCTCTCCTGTACTAGCTTCTCTGCACTGGCTCCCTGTAAAATGTAGAATTGAATTTAAAATCCTCCTCCTCACCTATAAAGCTCTTCATGGTCAGGCCCCTTCATATCTTAAAGAGCTCATAGTACCCTATTTACCCACTAGAACACTGCGTTCTCTGAATGCTGGGCTACTTGTGGTTCCTATAGTCTCTAAAAGTAGAACAGGAGCCAGAGCCTTCAGTTACCAAGCTCCTCTCCTGTGGAACCAGCTTCCAGTTGTGGTTCGGGAGGCAGACACCCTCACCACATTCAAGAGTAGGCTTAAGACATTCGGCTTTGATAAAGCTTATAGTTAGGGTTGGCTCAGATGAGTCCTGAACCATCCCTTAGTTATGCTGCTATAGGCCTAGACTATCGGGGGATTTCCCATGGTGCACTGAGCTTCTCTCTTCCTCTCTCTTTCTGCACTCATTCATGTCCCATTCATGCATGTTACTAACTTCACTTCTTCCCCAGAGTTCTTGTCCTTTCTTGTCTCACAGGTTCTCGTCGATCCTGGTGGAGCCTCCTGCCATGGTCCTGCTTGACTGCCATTGCCAATACTGTTGTTGCTGTGCATCTGTTTGTCTGTCTGTCTCTCTGTCTCTCTCTCTCGCTCTCTCTCTCTCACCCCAACTGGTCGAGGCAGACGACCACCCACCTAGAGCCAAAGGATCTGTCCTAGGTTTCTGCCTTCTAACAGGCAGTTTTTCCTTGCGCTTGTTGCCAAGTGCTTGCTCATGGTGGTACTGTTGGGTCTGTGTAAATAATGTTACAAGGAGTTCAGTCTAGACCTGCTCTATTTGAAAAGAATCCTGAGATAACTTTCGTTATGAATTGGTGCTATACAAATAAAACTGAATTGAATTGAATTGAATATGCAGAAATAAGATCAAAATTCCTAGCTGAATAAACTGAATTACAATAATAAAAAATAGTATAATAGTAGTTTATGTTTCATACACATAAACAATCTGTAAAAACATAAACAATCTTCTGCATACTGGCTGACCTCTCACAATAATTTGTTTAAGAATTAAGAATTCTCCAGCCACTTTCAGTTCGGTATAAAGCTCTTTTTCCTGAGTTTAACTCAACAGTAGAGAAGGCATGTTAGGTACCAGGTTAGAATATCCCAGTATTTTCCTTCATTAGGCCTAGTGTATGGCACCCCTGATAAAGCCTTGACTATTCTCTGGCCACCCCTTGTATAAAAGTCTAGTTCCCCACTTGGTTGTTGGTTGCTCCTCCCGCCACATGTCAAAGTATCGTTGAGCTAGATACTGAACCCCAAATTGCTCCCGATGCTGTGCATTGGTGTGTGAATGTGTATGAATTAGCTGTTAGCAGAAGGTTCCTGAACCTTCCCTGTTGTTCCTGACTAAGCTTTCTGAGGTAGGTGCTGATTGGTCAGAAAGCTGGTTGGTGCGATGTGATTGGCTCACCTCTTGCTGGTCTAGTTGCAGCAGTAGTTCGGGGACTCTGGGTGAACTGGTGGCCAGTCTCAGACTGTGGATGTTGAGTTCAGGAAGCACAAACTCTAGGACGTCCTTCAGAGGGAGACCTCGGGCTGTGCCATGTTTGGAGGAAGACGGGACAGAGTCCTCCAAGATGGATCCTCTCAGAGTGCAGAGCTGAGATACAAAATAAAGACTCAAGATGAGACTGAAAAAAGGACAGTTAGTGGACATCCTTAAGCAGGAAGTCATGATTTATTATGTATTATAATATGGTCTGTGTGAATAAAAATCTGATTGGCTGTTGGGTGTCCATTACTTCCTGATGTAGGACACCTACTGAACAGTTCCAGTGGAACGATAGCTCTATGGCTCATAGCGTAGCGTTAGTTCTCTGTCTTGTAGCTGAGCCAAAGTGCTTTCTAAGCAGAGGGAACTAGAAATATCTCCTGTTGCCAAGTCGTATCTATGGTTCGTCCTATTTACTGGAGCAGTGAACGTTTCCATTGCTATGGTCAGGGTAAACTAACTAACCCTAACCCTTCCAAGGAAAAAAATGTTTGATAGTTAAACATGCTGTTAGAACATAATGATGTTAATTTTTGGTTTGTGGCTGTGGTATAAACAGGATCTGTCCACCATGTTGTCCATTAATTTCTCATAATGGACACCTCGTCTGGCATGGTCCCTTACTTATTTGCAAGGTTCAAATGTCTTCAGTCAGAACTGTGTTTCTTAAATATCAATTATCAGTCTTTATCGTAATTTCACACTATATACAGCATTTACAGCATTTCACATACCCCTCTGCATTTGACTCATCCTTTGTACATTACGAGCAGTCGGCAGCCGTAGGTACCTGGGGAGCAGTTTGGGTTTAGATGCCTTGCTCAAGGGCACCTTGGCAGTGAAAAGGAGGTGCAACTGGCACCTCTTCAGCTACTAGTCCACACATCATACTGTGGTCCATGCTAGACTTGGCGATCCTCCGGTTCTCATAGCCAAGTCCTTACAGACTGAGCTACTGATTCCCCTAAGTCTTAAGGGCACTAGATGCTGTTGAGCGCAAACTGTATTGGTACTGAAGTTGACTGATGTGGACCGAAGTGGACCAGTTTACCTGTCTGGTCCTGAGGATAACCCTGTAGTTGTACTGTCTCTCATCCTTCTCATGCTCCAGTTTCTCTCGTCTGACACTCAGAGCTACCGGACCAAAGTTTTCATCAACGGCAAAATAGTTCTGGTGATCTGATGGTAAAAACACAGAGAGGTCAGAGGTCAGAGTGAGTCCTGAACTCAGGTGAGTCTCAGTTGAGTCCTGAACCATCCCTTAGTTATTCTGCTATAGGCCTAGCCTATCGGGGCATTTCCCATGATGCACTGAGCTCCTCTCTTCCTCTCTCTTTCTGCACTCATTCATGTCCCATTAATGAATGTTACTAACTTCACTTCTTCCCTGGAGTTCTTGTGCTTTCTCGTCTTGCAGGTTCTCATGGATCCTGGTGGAGCCTGCTGCCATGTTAGATCACAGACATCAATCCATTCACTTATGATTTGTTTATCTTTCTTAAGCCATTTCCTGGTCAAAGCCTTTTTACACACTACTAACAAAAACCTCAAAAAGTATTTATCTCTCTTCTAGATCACCAAGATATGGCATTTTAAAATTAAAAAAGATTTTTGAAAACAAGAATTTATCCAATTTAAAATAATGAAATAGAGTATTGGATGATGCAGGGTGCTGGAGGTGCAATGAAAACTATGGTACTCTGGTTCACATGCTGTGGAGCTGCCCAAAGGTGCAGAGGTTTTGGTTCACTATTCCTGACTACATTCAAACAATTATTGTCAAAGATGTCTCTTTCACTCCAGCCTTGTACATTTATGTCACCCTGACGCAGACTGGGTTTAGCCCTCATGCTGGGGCGGAAGCTCATTGTTATGAATTGGAAAGCCTCCTTCTGGTACGTCTAGCTGGTTAACTAGCTGCATTAATTCAATTCAATTCAATTCAATTCAATTTTATTTGTATAGAGCCAATTCATAACAGAAGGTATCTCAGGACACTTTTCAAATAGAGCAGGTCTATGCCGGACTCTTTATAACCTTATGGCAGACCCAACAGTACCACCATGAGCAAGCACTTGGCGACAAGGGCAAGGAAAACTGCCTGTTAAAAGGCAGAAACCTAGGACAGATCCTTCGGGCTCTAGGTGGGTGGGCGTCTGGCTCGACCAGTTGGGGTGAGAGAGAGAGAGAGAGAGAGAGAGAGAGAGAGAGAGAGAGAGACTGACAGACAGACAGGTGCACAGTAACAACAGTATTGGCAATGGCAATCTAGCAGGACCATGGCAGGAGGCTCCACCAGGATTGATAAGAACCTGCGAGACGAGAAAGCACAAGAACTCCGGGGAAGAAGTGAAGTTAGTAACATGCATTAATGGGACATGAATGAGTGCAGAAAGAGAGAGGAAGAGAGAAGCTCAGTGCACCATGGTCAAGCCCTAACTATAAGCTTTATCAAAGAGGAACGTCTTAAGCCTACTCTTGAATGTGGAAAGGGTGTCTGCCTCCCGAACCACAACTGGAAGCTGGTTCCACAGGAGAGGAGCTTGGTAACTGAAGGCTGTGGCTCCTGTTCTACTTTTAGAGACTATAGGAACCACAAGTAGCCCAGCATTCAGAGAACGTAGTGTTCTAGAGGGGTAATAGGGTACTATGAGCTCTTTAAGATATGAAGGGGCCTGAACATGAAGAGCTTTATAGGTGAGGAGGAGGATTTTAAATTCAATTCTACATTTTACAGGGAGCCAATGCAGAGAAGCTAGTACAGGAGAGATGTGATCTCTTTTTCTAGTTCCTGTCAGTACTCGTGCTGCAGCGTTCTGAATTAATTGGAGCGTTTTAATGGACTTATTGGGGCAACCTGATAATAAAGAGTTGCAGTAATCCAGCCTTGAAGTAACAAATGCATGGATTAGTTTTTCTGCATCTGTCTGTGACAGGATGTGTCTAATTTTTGTAATATTACGTAAATGAAAGAGGGCAGTCCTAGAGGTCTGCTTTATGTGGGAATTAAATGACAAATCCTGATCAAAGATAACTCCAAGATTCCTGACAGTGGTGCTTGAGGCCAAGGTAATGCCATCTAGAGTAACTATATCTTTAGACACTGAGTTAACATCAGAAAATTGCAGCTCATCCAGGATTTTATGTCCTTAAGACATGTTTGTAATTTAGGTAATTGATTAATTTCATTGGGTTTGATTGATAGATATAACTGTGTATCATCTGCATAACAGTGAAAGTTAATGGAGTGATTCCTAATAATGTTGCCTAAAGGGAGCATATATAAAGTAAATAGTATTGGTCCAAGTACAGAACCTTGTGGAACTCCATGACTAACTGTAGTATTTATTGAAGATTCATCGTTAACATGTACAAACTGCGAACGATCTGATAAATATGACTTAAACCAGCTTAGTGCGGTTTCTTTAATGCCAATTTGATGCTCAAGTCTCTCTAAAAGAATATTATGGTCAATGGTGTCAAATGCAGCACTAAGATCTAATAATACAAGTACAGAGACAAGTCCATTGTCAGAAGCAATCAGAAGGTCATTATTAACTTTAACCAGAGCTGTCTCTGTGCTATGATGAACTCTAAATCCTGACTGAAAATCCTCAAATAAACTGAATAATATCCAGTAAAGAAGTGCCAATTAAGGGAACAACTTCTTTAAGCAGCCTAGTTGGGATCGGGTCTAACAGACAGGTTGATGGCTTTGATGAAGAAATTATTGAAGTTAACTGATGAAGATCGATAGCAGAAAAACAGTCTAAATATATATCCAAGTTTACATTAGAAAGTACCTGAACTTGGAGAGCCACTGATAACTGTTGATGGCAGTTGGTGATTAATTTTCTCTCTAATAGTAATCATTTTATTATAAAAGAAGCTCATGAAGTCATTGCTACTTAAGTTTATGGGGATATGTGGCTCAATAGAGCTGTGACTCTCTGTCAGCCTGGCTACAGTGCTGAAGAGGAACCTAGGGTTATTCTTATTTTCTTCTATTAGTGCTGAATAATAGGCTCCTCTGGCCTTACGGAGGGCCTTTCTATAAGTTTTAAGATTATCTTGCCAAATTGAGCGATATTCTGATAATTTGGAAGAGCGCCATTTCCTTTCAGATTTCCTAGCTATTTGCTTTAACTGGCGGGTTTGGTGGTTGTACCACGGTGCTAGTCTCCTATGTTTTAATAATTTCCTTTTTATTGGAGCGATAGAGTCTAATGTTGATCGTAGTGAGCCTGCAGCACTATCGCCAAGATTATCAATTTCAGAGGAACTAAAGTCATTATAGGACTCTGTTAAATTCAGACATGGCATTGAATTAAACACTGAAGGAATCTCCTCCTTAAATTTAGCTACAGCACTGTCAGATAGACATCTGCTGTAGGAAGTTTTGCCTAATGGCTTATAATCTAATAGTATGAATTCAAAAGTTATTAAATAATGGTCAGATAGCAAAGGATTATGTGGGAAGACTATTAAATGTTCAATATCAATGCCATATGATAGAACAAGGTCAAGAGTGTGATTAAAACAATGAGTTGGTTTATTTACACTCTGACAGAAGCCAATTGAGTCTATTAATGATATAAATGCGTTACTAAGGCTGTCATTGTTAACATCCACATGAATATTAAAATCACCTACAATAATTACTTTATCTGATTTAAGGACTAAACTTGATAAAAACTCTGAGAATTCAGATATAAAATCAGAGTACGGTCCAGGAGCGCGGTACACTATAACAAACAGAACTGGCTGCAGTGTTTTCCAGTTTGGGTTACAAAGACTAAGAACAAGGCTTTCAAATGAATTATAATTTAGTTTAGGTTTAGGGTCCATTAAAACGCTCGAATCATATATGGCTGCTACTCCACCTCCTCGGCCAGTGCCTCGAGGAATGTGAGTATTAATATGACTGGGGGGGTGGATTCATTTAGGCTAACATACTCCATGTGGGACAACCAGGTCTCAGTAAGACAAAGTAAATCAATATCATAATTTGATATTAATTCATTCACTAAAACAGCTTTTGAAGACAGAGACCTGATATTTAACAGTCCACATTTCATTCTCTTATTTTGTGCTACTGAGGAGTTAGTTTTAATTTTTATTAGATTTTTATGTTGAACTCCTCTTGTTTTTATTTCTTTAAATAATTTAGGTGGTTGGGGGACAGACACAGTCTCTATGGGGTTTTGGGTGGGTGACTGTACTAATGGAAGAGCAGAGAAGTGTGTAAGACAGCAGCTCTGCTTCCTGGTCCCAACTCTGGACTGTCAGGTTTTAGAAATAAACTTCGCCATATTTCTAGATAAGAGAGCCGCTCCATCCAAAGTGGGATGGATGCCGTCTCTCCTAATCAGACCAGGTTTTCCCCAAAATGGCTGCCAGTTATCAATGAAGCCCATATCGTTTGCTGGACACCACCTTAGAAAATGTATCATTCAGTTTACTCAATAGGGTGGAACTTTATGTCCCGAAGTGGAATTTGTGGCTATTTATTTTATGTTGCACCTTCTTTTCATTTCTTTCATTTTATATTAATAGTTATTTAGATTATTTTGAATGTATTCACATAAAGTATTTTGACTTCTTGTCTTACACAGCTATATATTTTATTTATCCATTCACTGTTTTATAGTATTTTGTCTGCTGGAGTACAGAAGGGAGGGGAGCTTGTCATTAACCTTCCATTCCCATTCTTCCAGAGTTATTGTGAGATTGCCCTCTGCTTCCCATCTTACTTTAATATTCAAAGGATGCTCTGTTTTTTAAACAATAATACCAACAAATCTCGGACTGGAAAATAAGTGATCCTGATTCTGTAAATGTAAGTTGTCTTCAACCACCTTCATGAGATTGTTGTGATATGTGATTATAAGTCTGTATCAAGTCTAACAGTAGAAATTTTGTTGTGTTTGTTTACATCGCACAGAGCTGACTGTAAACAGAAAGAGTCAGCGCTCTACACACACACACACACACACACACACACACACACACACACCGACTGTCTGATGTGGGTCATATTTAATCCTAAAAATCTGTTCATATGTTAAATAACTGAATGTGTGTGTGTGTTTAAGATATCTGCTGCTGATGTTTATTTACTCATTTCCTCAACCAGATTCCAGTCACTAAAATAGCATTTTTGTGTTTATCTCTTATTGCCACTTCCTGGGAAGATGGCAGGATGGCGCCGTTCTGGTGGCAGCTGACAGAACTTTGTGTATTTTGTGTTTGCCTTGTTGACTTATTTGTACTTCAGTTTGTTAGCTTTATCACTGAAGATGGACAGCATGCTCTATGATAATATTTTTTGATACCAGTACCCATCCTTTGACTTTAATACTGGTTCCTGAACAAAATAATTTTTTTTATTAAATTTAACATAAGAAAAAGACATTACACATTATGGTACAGTTACTCAGCTGTTCAGAGACCTGGGAGAGAAGAAACTGATCTGTGCACTCAACAATATAAATAAAACAATAAGTGGCAATAGGCCACTGTAGCATCTTGTCTGCCTAAACTTAAGAAATGAATATGTGGGTGGTGACGTTTATGGTATTGGTAAATATTGGCACAGTGAGATGACTCTTACTCACTAAACTAAGCAGAATATACATAATGAAAATTACACAGTCAATGATGACACAAGAGGTCTAAAAGTCTAAATTCATAGGAAAGAGACTGATCAAATATTATTCCTAAATATGAGACAATTTCAGCTCCATTTGAAGACACTTTGAATGTATTTTTTCATGACTTGTTACAAATGATCCACTGTCTCACACTCTCTACCTTCATTCAACCACCACTGGCTCTCAGATGGTGCAGGCAGACAGGAGTCTGAGGTCCGAGTGTCCGGGGAGAAACAACCAATGTGGCCTTGTGGGCCTGGTATGGTTACAGTCTAGAATCAGGTCTTACCTTTGTTGTAGAAGTATTTCAGATAGTATTTGGCTCCGAGGTCAAAGTGTTCGATGTCGTAGTTCTTCACCAGGTTTTGAGGGAACACATTTTCACTGCAGACTTCTAGGACTGACAGGCCAGCGTTGGAACAGGTTCTGCTGAACACTGACTGGGTGCCTGGGGTGCTGTTGGCCCTGGTCAGGCCCAGCTTCTTATCTGGTTCCCCTCTAGTCTCGTTAATGAAGAACGGACAGCTGAGCACCAGACCGCCATTTTCGTCGCTCCTGAACATGTTTGCTGTGACGTCCACTGCAGGATCAGCAGCTTCCTGCCGCGATGACCCTGCCCAGGCCACCGTAGAGGTGGTCTTCCTGTGTCTTAGGTTTGGTTGGGGGTCGGAGGACTCGCTGATGTTGAAGAAGATGCTCTGAACATCATAATGAGAGAAACTGAACCTGACCTCCTGCTGCTGATCCCTGAACCCTCTTGGACTTCTCAGTCGGCTAAAGAGGGACGCCTCTGTCTGCTGAGGTCTGTGTCCTGCTACATAGACCATTTCCCCACGGGCAATCTGAGCTGCAGTCTGCAGGCTGGCTGATGGCAAGGCATTGAGGTATGGAGGTTCAGGGAGAGGTGGCAGTCCACTCTGACCAGGTTGGTCCAGAGTCGAGGTGCTGCCGTACTGTCGCCTCAGACTGGCTTGTGTGTGCGGGTTGATGGCTGCAGGATCCAGATCTTCGATGTCACTGATGGTCCCCTCGCTGTTACTCCTCTTCATCCTCCTGCTGGGGGAGTGACTCAGGAGGTCCCAGAAGGGGTATCTGGTCTCTGATCTAATCTGTTGAGGTCCTTTCAGGAAGTTCTGGACCAGATTGTCGTATCTAGGTGGGGGCTGAGCATCCCAGACCTCCCTCCTTTGAGGCCAGTCAGACACTCGAGCCCGGACCCCCATCTTCGGTACAGCTGGAGCCCCCTGAACCACCGGAGGTCCCATAATCCTGATCCACAAGACCTGACAAGGAAAAGTCCTGAAGAATCTGAAGTCAGTGAATGCAAAGAGGACTCTTTATCCGCACAGACCTGAAATACACAAAATATTTAAATCAATCAGCTGTTTACCTGTTGATGAGTGACTGAGTCCCAACAGCCAGTCACAGCTCTCCACCTGTCTGTCAGATATCAACAGAACTCTATCAGGCAGAACAGAGTCACTCTGGTTCAGCCAATCATTACACTGGAGGGAGGAGCCAGACGACACACCTGTGAACTCCCACCTAACACACACACACACACACACACACACACACACACACACACAATTACTGCAATGCAGCCTCACACAGGGTTGGATACCGAATCATGGCACCAGTTCCTGTACGACTGTATCTACTGGAACGAATCGTGACGCAGGTGTGGGTGCCTGCTTTCAGTAGCAGAACTGTCTCTGCTGCCAATGTTACAGGAAACAGAGGACTCACCACACTGAGCCATCACTAGTGAACATTTGTTCCCACAATATCCAAAAATAGAGAAAAAATATTTCATCTGGGTGACAGTGTAACACTATTGTACTAGCCAATCAGCACTGATCAGTTATATTAGTAATTCATTAGTATTATTTCATTCATCTACAGAGACTCTGTACAGTGTATGGTCTGAGACACTGTGAAGTTTGTCTCTACTGTTGGAGCAGCTGATAAGTGCACAGCTTCTTCCACATTTTATAGACGATGTAAAAGAAACGTCACAGACAGGTGGAGGTAAAGAGAAAAGTGTTCACTTCTGAGGACAGCTTGCATTCAAACCCACTGTAGAGAGACCCCCCACAGTGATGGAGACGGTTTACTTCCTGTACTTCCACAAACTCATGTACACTTTAAACTACTAACAGTCAATATATTGTTCCATTTCAAGTTCAAGTTTACCAGTTCTTCCTGTATACAGCCATGACATCATCTAGAGGTGTAAGAAAATATCACAAATATTGCATTGCAATATTTTGTTATGCAATATTGCATCAATTCTTAAAAAAACCCTGTATTGATTTTTGTGTTTAAACAGCAGATAGCAGTGTTGTAAACTGAGATACACTGTTCTACATAATGGTGGTGTGTTCTTTAATACTGTGACAGTTTTCCTAAAATTGTTTACGTCACATTTACTTAATATTTACTTTCATGATATCCAATGAAATAATGTAATTATGAAACTGAGAGTGAATTTATAATAACAATAAATAACAATTTACACTGTAAAACCTCAAATTGTTTGAGGAAACCAGTAGATATTAAAAAATATGTGATTTGAGTAACTTACGTATTTAATGTTAAGGTAACTTAGGTAAATTAAGTTTATTGTACCAATTCCATTAAAACTAGTAAGTATATGAGCCTCGGGGGCGCTGTGGAGCCGCAGACCAAGATGGCAGCTTAGGGTGGGTGCTCCTCGCAGCTTTGCAAAAAGTTCACAAAGTCCTAGTCATTAACGCTTCTAATTACTTCCAAAAGATGTCTAAACAAACGACGCTCAAAGACTGTGTGGCTCTCAGATACCCAAAACTACAATTAATGCGGCAGCCGATGATGCTAACGATGCGGCTAGCCCACGGACTGACTTAGCTGCGGTGCTAAGTGAGCTGCAGTCACTGTGTATGGCTGTCAGCGTGATTAACACCAAGATAAGTACTTTTGACGGCTTTGGGGCAAAACTCGACAACGTGGAGAGACGCATAGCTGAGATGAATAGCTCTGTCGATGCTGTGCAAAAGAGTTTTGCAGTCCTTCAACAAGATATTACCGCTAATGGTACGAGCCTCACGGAGGCTGAAGGGCGCATAGGGGACACCGAAGATAGCCTGCAGAGTGTGAAAACGGAGCTGACTGACGCCGATAAACGCATTGCCTTTTTAGAGTCTAAGACGGAAGACCTAGAAAATCGTGCTCGGAGAAAGAACTTAAGACTGGTGGGGCTCCCCGAACACGTCGTTCACCTTGGAAAAGAGCGCACCGCAAGACCAAGACCGGATCAGAGCAGAGCTGTAATCGTTCATTTCCTGCGATTTCAAGACCGCAATGTTGTCTTCAACACATCCAAACAATGCTCGCTTACTCACGATGGTCACAAAATCTTCTTTGCTCAAGATCTATCAGTGGAAACCATGAAGGTGCGGAGCTCATTCAATGCAGTGAGGAAAAAGTTCATTGAAGCTGGAACTTTTCGGGGATTCACCCTACGCCCTTGTAAAATGAGGGCTCTCCACAACGGGATAGTTCTTTTCTCCACACCAGAAGAAGCTGAGAACTTCCTCCCAAACTCCTAAACTTCTAAATGCAGATGAGTATAGGTAACTATAGAAGGATCGATATGGACAATAGTATATATAGGTGCACTGTAGTTTAATATAAGTTCTGTTAAGTTCGATTTATATACATTCTGTACTCTCTAATTTAGTTTAATTATATGGAGAGCTGCTACTACCATATTTGGTGGACACTTTATTTTATGCACCTACTATAGGCCGATACATTTGTGTATTTGACACAGGCTACTGAGGCAGTTAAATCAAGAAGCGTTAATTCAATTCAATTCAATTCAATTCAATTTTATTTGTATAGTGCCAATTCATAACAGAAGTTATCTCAGGACACTTTTCAAATAGAGTAGGTCTAGACCAAACTCTTTATAACATTATTTACAGAGACCCAACAGTACCACCATGAGCAAGACCTTGGAGACAGGGGCAAGGAAAAACTGCCTGCCTGTTAAAAGGCAGAAACCTAGGACAGATCCTCCAGCTCTAGGTGGGTGGTCGTCTGTCTCGACCAGTTGGGGGGTGAGAGAGAGAGAGAGAGAGAGAGAGAGAGAGAGAGAGAGAGAGAGCGAGAGACAGACAGACAGGTGCACAGCAACAACAGTATTGGCAATGGCAATCTAGCAGGACCACGGCAGGAGGCTCCACCAGGATCGATAAGAACCTGCGAGACAAGAAAGTACAAGAACTCCGGGGAAGAAGTGAAGTTAGTAACATGCATTAATGGGACATGAATGAGTGCAGAAAGAGAGAGGAAGAGAGGAGCTCAGTGCACCATGGGAAATCCCCCGATAGTCTAGGCATATAGCAGCATAACTAAGGGATGGTTCAGGACTCACCTGATCCAGCCCTAACTATAAGCCAACTGTAGACCAATCTCTAACCTCCCCTTCCTATCTAAGATTCTGGAGAAAGTTGTCGCCCAAGAGTTGTGTGTCTTTCTACATAACAATAGTTTATTTGAGGATTTTCAGTCAGGATTTAGAGTGCATCATAGCACAGAGACAGCTCTGGTTAAAGTTAATAATGACCTTTTAATTGCTTCACACTTGTCTCTGTACTTGTATTACTACATCTTAGTGCTGCATTTGACACCATTGACCATAATATTCTTTTACAGAGACTTGAGCATCAAATTGGCATTAAAGGAACCGCACTAAGCTGGTTTAAGTCATATTTATCAGATTGTTCGCAGTTTGTACATGTTAACGATGAATCTTCAATAAATACTACAGTTAGTCATGGAGTTCCACAAGGTTCTGTACTTGGACCAATACTATTTACTTTATATATGCTCCCTTTAGGCAACATTATTAGGAATCACTCCATTAACTTTCACTGTTATGCAGATGATACGCAGTTATATCTATCGATCAAGCCCGATGAAATTAATCAATTATCTAAATTACAAACATGTCTTAAGGACATAAAATCATGGATGAGCTGCAATTTTCTGATGTTAAACTCAGAAAAAAACGAAATTCTTCAGGATTTGTCATTTAACTCCCACATAAAGCAAACCTCCAGGACTGCCTTCTTTCATTTACGTAATATTACAAAAATTAGACACATCCTATCACATACAGATGCAGAAAAGCTAAACCATGCATTTGTTACTTCAAGGCTGGATTACTGCAACTCTTTGTTATCAGGTTTCCCCAATAAGTCCATTGAAACGCTCCAATTAATTCAGAACGCTGCAGCACGAGTACTGACAGAAACTAGAAAAAGAGATCACATCTCTCCTGTACTAGCTTCTCTGCACTGGCTCCCTGTAAAATGTAGAATAGAATTTAAAATCCTCCTCCTCACCTATAAAGCTCTTCATGGTCAGGCCCCTTCATATCTTAAAGAGCTCATAGTACCCTATTACCCCTCTAGAACACTACGTTCTCTGAATGCTGGGCTACTTGTGGTTCCTATAGTCTCTAAAAGTAGAACAGGAGCCAGAGCCTTCAGTTACCAAGCTCCTCTCCTGTGGAACCAGCTTCCAGTTGTGGTTCGGGAGGCAGACACCCTCTCCACATTCAAGAGTAGGCCTAAGACATTCCTCTTTGATAAAGCTTATAGTTAGGGCTGGATCTGGTGAGTCCTGAACCATCCCTTAGTTATGCTGCTATAGGCCGAGACTATCGGGGGATTTCCCATGGTGCACTGAGCTCCTCTCTTCCTCTCTCTTTCTGCACTCATTCATGTCCCATTAATGCATGTTACTAACTTCACTTCTTCCCCGGAGTTCTTGTACTTTCTCGTCTCGCAGGTTCTTATCGATCCTGGTGGAGCCTCCTGCCATAGTCCTGCTAGATTGCCATTGCCAATACTGTTGTTGCTGTACACCTGTCTGTCTGTCTGTCTCTCTCTCTCTCTCTCTCTCTCTCTCTCTCTCTCTCTCGCTCTCTCACCCCAACTGGTCGAGACAGACGACCACCCACCTCGAGCCGAAGGATCTGTCCTAGGTTTCTGCCTTTTAACAGGCAGTTTTTCCTTGCCCTTGTCGCCAAGTGCTTGCTCATGGTGGTACTGTTGGGTCTCTGTAAATAATGTTATAAAGAGTTCGGTCTAGACCTGCTCTATTTGAAAAGTGTCCTGAGATAACTTCTGTTATGAATTGGCACTATACAAATAAAATTGAATTGAATTGAATTGAATTGAACTAATGTGGTATGTGTAGATGTGTTTTGTGTGTCTTTATTGAAAATCAATAAAAAACATTGTTAAAAAAAAAAGTATATGAGCCTCATATGAAGCATTTCTCCAAATCTATTCAAAATGTGTCACTTAAATACAAATGTTACCACTTAAGTTGAATTTACTTTATTTTTCTTCCACTAAAGCAAATTATTACATAACCATATTCATTAATATACTCGAAATATTGCCCAAATTTAAGATCAGAGTTATTCAACAATTGATGTAGGAGTTGAGTTTAAATAACAAGAATGAACTTACTGCTTTTATTAAGATTAAATTGTTTTTTACAGTGTAACATTAACTGTGTGTGTGTGATATTTGAAGCAGCTGACTCATCTTCAGCAGTGACAGCTGGAGGAGTCACACATAGTATCCAGTATTTACATACATATAAATATACACAGTATACAGGTATGTACTGTATGTAAATTCTTTTGGATTTATGAACCTGTGACATTAAAATGTTAATAATTATCTCTCTCTACAGGTGATTTGAACCCGCAGGGAGAGACACTGGGTCCCCTAGTCATCTCATTTGGTGCTGTAAAGGGACAGTGGAAGGACCTACAGGACACCTGTCCTCAGGTACTGTGTTAGGTGGTCATGTGATCCTGTTTATCACACCTGAGTGCTCAGGTGATTTACTGAGTGAACCTGAGGAAGTTGCAGGAGAAACTTGTTGTTCATTCCTGATTAGTTATTAGCTGTTCGCTCACACTCTGCTGGTTGCAGTTATCCAGGATCTCAATACAAATCCAACTTCCACATACAGAAGGAGGTTTGATTGATCAACGATGGTGATTTAATGCTTTCCTATAAGGAACTTTGTTTAAAAAGAGTCTTTTTAGCCTGAGAGTAGCAGGATAATCAATAAATCAATCAATATCAACATGAAACATCATAGTATCTAGAAATATCTAATGTGTCTCAGTTTACACGCCTATATTTCAATGTTTGATTTTCAGATCAAAATATATCAATATATCAATATTTCAGCTCCACTGACACTGAGCTGTTTTTATAGCTATAATGATCAATATTACAGGTTCATACTGTTTTCATGCTGCTCAGATCGGTCCTTTACTATTATTATCAGTATTATTATCTGTATTATTATCTGTATTATTATCTGTACTATTATCTGTATTATTATCAGTACTGTTATCTGTATTATTATCTGTATTATTATCTGTATTATTATCTGTACTATTATCTGTATTATTATTATCAGTACTTTTATCAGTATTATTATCTGTACTATTTTCTGTATTATTATCAGTATTATTATCAGTACTATTATCAGTACTATTATCTGTATTATTATCTGTACTATTATCTGTATTATTATCTGTATTATTATTATCAGTACTTTTATCAGTATTATTATCTGTATTATTATCTGTACTATTATCTGTATTATTATTATCAGTACTTTTATCAGTATTATTATCTGTACTATTATCTGTATTATTATCAGTACTTTTATCAGTATTATTATCTGTACTATTATCTGTATTATTATCAGTATTATTATCTGTATTATTATCAGTACTTTTATCTGTATTATTATCTGTACTATTATCTGTATTATTATCAGTATTATTATCAGTATTTACTGATTACTATTACTACTGATACTACTAATTCTACTAATTCTGCTAATACTACTACTAATACGGATACTACTAATACTACTAATTCTGCTAATACTACTACTAATACTGATACTACTACTACTACTGCTACTACTACTGATACTACTAATACTACTAATACTGACACTGATACTAATACTGACACTAATACTAATACTACTAATACTACTACTACCAACAGTTATTACACACACACACACACACACACACAGACACACAAAGACACACACAGCTAAAGTTACCTCCGCGCGGCCCTGCAGAAACAGTCCCGTCCAGAACCTGGTTTCTGTCGGACTCCTGAACTCCGCAGAAGATCCTGGTCTCTGTAGTAAACCTGGTATCTGTGGGACATGGTCTCAGACATGCAGGTCTCTGTTAACTCGCCTCTCTCAGCTGTTTCCGCTCAGGCTCGGATGCTGCTGGGCTAATGATGCCTTCATGTGATGCTCGTAAATTCAACACTTCATGGTCCCGATGTTCCTCCTTTATTACTGATTCCTGCTCTTCTTCCTCGTCTAAGTGGACTAGGTGTACAGAAAACACCTGAACACATCTCTTTCTTCAGAGGAGACTGAACTGATCAGTCTAATTGATCCAGATCAATATTCTCCACTTCCACACATATATTCTAGTTCACTTAACAGTAAGACTTGTTCATGCTGATACTGAATAAACAGAACATATACTCTGTCTGTGAATGAGTTCATGGGAACGTACTGCCACCGTGTGGTTCCTGACAGCAACTACACTGTAGTAAAGAGAGGGAGAGGGGGAGAGGGAGAGAGAGAGGGAGAGAGGGAGAGAGAGACAGAGAGAAAGGGGGAGGGAGGAAGGGAGGGAGAGAAAGAGAGACAGGGAGAGGGAGTGATAGATAGATAGATAGATAGATAGATAGATAGATAGATAGATAGATAGATAGATAGATAGATAGATAGATAGATAGACTTTATTAATCCCCGGAGGGAAATTGGGTCGTCATAGCAGCCAGGTACATTAAAATACAATAAAATACAACAATAGAATAAAATACAATAGTAGAATCAAATACTTAGAAAAGATTAAAAAAAAGATAAATAGATAGATAAGGTTTTGGAGTTGTAGTTGCAAGATGGTGGTAATAGTACTGATGACATTATGGTAGTGTTATTGTTAATAACAGTATATAATAATAACAATATATAATGATAATATTAATAATATTTATAATATGTATATATAATATGATGACTGAACAGATATACATGTATACACATAGATATTATACATTAATATTGATATAATGTAAACATGTGTAATATATTCAGCCTGTGCAAAGTGTGTATACATACATACTGTAATATATATACACAATATATGTATATAATATTCAATTCAATTCAATTCAATTTTATTTGTATAGCGCCAATTCATAACAGAAGTTATCTCAGGACACTTTTCAAATAGAGCAGGTCTAGACCGAACTCTTTATAACATTATTTACAGAGACCCAACAGTACCACCATGAGCAAGACCTTGGAGACAAGGGCAAGGAAAAACTGCCTGTTAAAAGGCAGAAACCTAGGACAGATCCTCCGGCTCTAGGTGGGTGGTCGTCTGTCTCGACCAGTTGGGGTGAGAGAGAGAGAGAGAGAGAGAGAGAGAGAGAGAGAGAGAGAGACAGAGAGAGAGACAGACAGACAGGTGCACAGCAACAACAGTATTAGCAATAGCAATCTAGCAGGACCATGGCAGGAGGCTCCACCAGGATCGACAAGAACCTGCGAGACGAGAAAGCACAAGAACTCCGGGGAAGAAGTGAAGTTAGTAACATTCATTAATGGGACATGAATGAGTGCAGAAAGAGAGAGGAAGGGAGGAGCTCAGTGCACCATGGGAAATCCCCCGATAGTCTAGGCCTATAGCAGCATAACTAAGGGATGGTTCAGGACTCACCTGATCCAGTCCTAACTATAAGCTTTATCAAAGAGGAATGTCTTAAGCCTACTCTTGAATGTGGTGAGGGTGTCTGCCTCCCGAACCACAAATGGAAGCTGGTTCCACAAGAGAGGAGCTTGGTAACTGAAGGCTCTGGCTCCTGTTCTACTTTTAGAGACTATAGGAACCACAAGTAGCCCTGCATTCAGAGAACGTAGTGTTCTAGAGGGGTAATAGGGTACTATGAGCTCTTTAAGATATGAAGGGGCCTGACCATGAAGAGCTTTGTAGGTGAGGAGGAGGATTTTAAATTCTATTCTACATTTTATAGGGAGCCAGTGCAGAGAAGCTAGTACAGGAGAGATGTGATCTCTTTTTCTAGTTCCTGTCAGTACTCGTGCTGCAGCGTTCTGAATTAATTGGAGCGTTTTAATGGACTTATTGGGGCAACCCGATAATAAAGAGTTGCAGTAATCCAGCCTTGAAGTAACAAATGCATGGATTAGTTTTTCTGCATCTGTCTGTGATAGGATGTGTCTAATTTTTGTGATATTACGTAAATGAAAGAAGGCAGTCCTAGAGGTCTGCTTCATGTGGGAGTTAAAAGACAAATCCTGATCAAAGATAACTCCAAGATTCCTGACAGTGGTGCTAAAGGGCCAAGGTAATGCCATCAACAGTAACTATATCTTTAGACAGTGAGTCTCTGTCTCTTTTTTTATATATATACTATAGGGGATTTACACTCTATTTTTTTATACACACAGGGAGAGAGATGGTGGAGTAATGGGCACACCACGTAAGCAGCACCCAAGAGCAGTTTCTTGGGGTTAGGTGGCTTTCTCAAGGGCACCTTGGCAGTGCACAAGAGTTGAGACTGGCCCCTGTCGAGCTACCAGTCCACACTCCATATTATGGTCTGTGGGGCTTGAACCAGCAGCCCTCCGGTTCCCAAGCCAAGTCCCTATACACTGAGCTACTGCCACCCCCATAACATCTGCAGAATAAACTAAAGTAACTACAGTCAGAATAAACAGTGAGAAAATAAGGACATTGAAACAAAAGTTTCTCTAATTTCTCTAAGAAATTTAAATCCGGATTAAAAGTGCTGACATCATCATCACACTTTTTATTATAAATCAAAATCTGATCTTTATTTTATACAAAGAAGAAACATATTCACAGAAGAATATTTCTGAATGTCTCACATCATTACTGTCTTTGTACAAGTTGATTTTTAAAAATAGACTGAAATTATAAAATTCATAACTGCTTTATAACAGACTATATATTGTGTATGTATGTTTTTTATATTATTATATTATATTGTCACTCTACTTCTATCTGTCTACAGGTGGTCTATTCTTTAACAAATACATTAATAAACACTTCTGCTTACAACTACATTATAGTATAGTTATTAAACCTACAGTGTGTCATTTCTGCCACTAGGGGGCCCCTCACATCCAATCAATAAGAAAGCAGGAAGTTTGATGAGGTGGTGAAGCAGCGTGGGATCATGGGAGTTGTTGTCTTCACCACCATTGGTGTCATTGCAGTCAGCTTCTCCCGGTTAGGATTCCTTCAGTGTTCATGGTTCAGGAGGTTTCTACCGGGAGCCCAATGATCCACAGAGGTCTCCTCCTCTCCAACACAAACAGACCCGCTGATTAAAACCACTAAACACACTGAATAAAGCAGTTCCACCTTAAACACACTGAATAAAGCAGTTCCACCTTAACAATCACTGCTTCTCCCACGCTGTTGGACAGA